TATAGATGAGCCGGAAGTGGCAAAATGCTAGCTAAAAGCCAAAGTAGAAACAGGATTCCTAAAAGCTAAAGCAGCTAAAGATGAGCTGGAAGTGGCAAAATGCTTGCTAAAAGTTAAAGAAGCAACAAGATATCTAAAACCTAAAGTAGCTAAAGATGTGCCGGAAGTGGCAAAATTATAGCTAAAAGCCAAAGTAGCAACAAGATATCTAAAAGCCAAAGTAAATATAGATGAGTGAGAAGTGGCAAAATGCTAGCTAAAAATATCAAAAGTCTAGCTAGAACCAAAAAGTAGCAGAAAATCAGCTAAAAGTAACAAAATACTAGTTGAAACATAAAATTAGCAAAAAGCTAGCTAGAGCTTAGAAGTAACAATAGGCCAGCTAGAACATAAAAGTAGCAAAAGGGTAGCTAGAACCTAAATGTAGCTAAATGCTAGCTACAAGGTAAAAGTATGTAAAGGCTAGCCAAAAGGTAAATGTAGCGAAAAGCTAACTAACAGCCAAAGGGAGAAGAAATTGAACTTGAAGCTAAAAGTATCAAAAACTATCCTGAAAGTGAAAATAGCAACAACAACAACAAAATAGACAAAAATAAAACTAGAATAGTGAAACAAATAATATATAAATGAAAAACGTGACAACTGGTTTGGATTTTTGAACGGCGGACGCTGTAGGAGCCTCGCTTCATGACCGAATGACGCCCGTCTCTGCAGGAACGCACGGCTTTACACCCGAACACGTGTGGTTCTCCTCTGCAGGTGGTCCTCAGCAGAGGCAGGATGGTGGGAGCCGTGCTGATCGGAGACACGGACCTGGAGGAAACCTTTGAGAACCTCATCCTGAACCAAATGGACCTGACGCCGTACGGAGAGGAGCTGCTCAACCCAAACATCGACATAGAGGACTACTTTGATTAAGTTCAGCTGACGTTTGCTGCTCGGAGCCACGGAGAAACTCATCGTTTCAGTACTTTTTAACTTATCAAAGCTTATTTTAGGAGGGAGGAACCAGCCGTGGAAAAAGACGAACGCTGGTTCTTGTTTGCTTTCCAAATAAATTATTTTCAGAATAACTTGCTGCTGGATTTGAAAAGAGTAAACCTGGTGTCATCCTGTGGTAATTTGCTCCAGTTAGAGGAATTACGGTCGCTGGTGCTGGAAATATGCGCAGAAATCTGATCGACTGAACGTGTCGGAGGTGAGCCTGAAGTCCTGCTGCCACGTGGGGCTCATCAGAGCATGACGGGGTTAAATAACTGCACTTTTATTGTTTTAACTTCTTTTCACAGCAACGCAGTTAAAATCAACTGAACTAGTTTTGTATTAAACTCCCTAAAAGTCAGTTCCACTTCCAGGTTTGAAGATAATCTAAGAGAACCGTTGAAAAGAAGCGAATATTTTCAGCACCGTACGTTTTTTTTTTTAAATGTACGAACACATTTTGCACTTTTACAAAAACAGGATGTACTTAACTGTACTTAAAAGAGCAAATAATAAATCACTTTTATTCTTTGATGGTGTATTTCCTAAATTGTAGTGCGAGCAGCAACCACCGCCACCGGGTTCTGCAGTTTCAGCCCGTTTTACAGTTAATGAGTCCAGGGTTGCCCCTACACGAAACATTTTTACAATCCAAAGGATTCTAAAGATAGCAAGAGTAAAATGATTCATTGCTCATAAATGATACGATAAAATCTACCAACTGTAGCTTTAATTCTCCTACACGTTGTTCTCCTTGAGCCGTGACCTTTGGGGAACTTTGAGCCTGGCACTCGTTTCAAAAACACGTTTAAATGAGCCAAGGATTTCAGATTAATGAGTAACTCAGATAAGTTTGTTTCTTTCACGATTTGGGATAGAAAACTTGTAAATTTCCAGAGTCAAGACGTCCGAGACCTGCTTAGCTAATCCTCAAGACACGCACTGTATGTACACAGAAGTGTTCATACTTATTTAAGTCCACGCTGATTGAAGATTTTTCTCTAAACAAAACTAAAAGTGATGCAAAATGGTCAAAAATAATGTTCATAGAAAAAAAAACTGATGTGGGAATGACATAGGAGGGACAAAATTTACCTTTTAAAAATTATTTTACATTCTTAGACCTTTGCAAAATATGCAATTCTCATGACTCCGTGTTTTTATAGGAGCCTATTTATGCCAATTAGCAAGTCATAATTACAAGAGACTATCTCCAAATTTAAAAAATACGAGGTCATATCTCAGAATTACAACTAAACGTCTCACAATATGACTGTCATAATTATTATAACTTAGTATTTTATAATTTTGTGTCCCAAATGTTTGAGATAGTATCAAAATCTGTTTTTGTGTCTCAAATATATTACGTAATATCTCATAAATATGAGACAATTTCACGGAATTAGAATTTAGTAACTCGATATTATGCCTTACTTTCTCATTTTAGCATCTTAAAATTAAATGTCTCAAAATTATGATCAAATATCTCAAAAATATGACCTAATATATTTTATGGCTCGTGCATTTAATAATTGTGAGCTTAGAAATTATTGGTATGATAGTAATAAAAAATTGTATGAGATATTATTCCATAATTTTTACGTGGTAAGTCATAGTTCTGTGATAGTTTGTCATATATATATATATATATATATATATATATATATATATATATATATA